TCTCAATAGTATTTCAATTCGTGGGGCGTAACGTTCTCAATAGTATTTCAATTCGCGGGGCGTAACGGAAAATAATCGAGAACCACTGTGTTAACAGCAGATCTGCTGCATGTTGTGGTTCCTCGGGGGCATCAAACCCCAGGACTCTGCACTCTGCTCGTGAGGCCCGCATGCTAACTGCTACACTTGACCATTGCGTCAAAGCCAGGTGATTGTCCTATGACCAGTTTGCTGATTCGGTTTTTACCAGCATTAACACTCAGTGAGTCTGAAAACAGGGTTGTGCAATTTGACCTTCGTCTGCATTTTACACCTGCTGTGTTATGTACACTACAGCTCGACATGAATTCACACAGACAGTAGAGCCTCACACTCTAGTGGAGCTTCACACAGTACAGAGAGCTGTGCTTATACCCCTTTATTTGGGTCAGTTTACATTTTGCACCCGGTGGCTGCATGCTGAATAATCACACATTTTATAGTTAATCAAATAAAGGATAAAGGAAGTTAATGGTATATCAATTGTATTTCTAGAGAAATCTGATTGAGAAACCCTTATGATACCCTTATTATATTATAATTGATTTATTTCTTAAGTCAATTTAGATGGAGGAAATCTTGACAGCATTGTCTGAACATAACACAACTTATAATCACTAAAAGGATTTGAAGGCTTAGCGCATGATGTAAGCCAGGTGTGGGCAAACGTTGGGATGGAGCATTTGTGTGAACTGAGATAAAGGCATAAAGGCTAAAAGGCTAAAATGCTATGTAGGGAAAAGGAAGAGGTGTAATAATAATAATATAAATATTATATGATATTATATAATTTGGTGGCGCTTTGGCCCAGAGGCAATGTCTCTGTCATTGGTGTGGAACCCCAGGGTTCACCTCCTGGGCAAGTTCGAAACCCGGTTAGGGCGGTTGGTACCTTCCAGTGGACTCACCACCCGCAGGAAGTGCAATGTGATGTGGGTGGCGACCGCTGCCCCCGCGACCCGGTAACGGATAAGCGGATGAAGATGGATGGATGGATGGATTATATAATTTGGACAAGTTTGTCGGTCCAGATTGAAAATTGCAACGGGCCGCATCCGGCCCCTGGGCCGTAGCTTGCCCATGCCTGATATAAGCCTTCTTTGTAAACCTAGTATGGAACCTAGTATGGAATGATGTGTTAAAAATCCTTCATCTAAATAGAATCACTTAAGATTTGGTGGCAATAATAATAATAACAGAAAAGTATTAACCTGTATGATTTGTTGGCTTCTATGTCATTTCCATGTAGAGTGAGGCTGTGTAGATGAGGCAGAGCTCCCAGTCTGTTCACTTCGGACAGAGTAAAAATGTTATTACCGTGAAGATACAACACCCGGAGCTCACGCAGCTCACACAACACCTGGAACAAAACGTAAACACACACAAAAACTACATAAGGACGGGTGTAATGTCCTTATCGTGATGGACAAGAAAAGACAAGACAGGAAAACTCACAGGGTCGATGTGTGTGATTTTGTTGAATGATAGGTCCAGCCAAGCTAACTGAAATGGCTCAGCCAGGAATTGGTCAACAGTCTTCTGGAGGTCGATGAGGTCAACGATGTTGTTGTTACTAAGACGCAAGGAGTGGGATTCATACTTCATCTTTGCATTTCTCTTCAGAGGACGCTGGCCTCTTGTGGGTTCTACCATCCAAGTATCTGAGATCACATGGTAAATCCAGGGGTTGAATATTTAAGATGGACGACTAAACGACTTATCGACAATTCCAATCATATTTGGTTCGTTTTAAACCAGTGGTTCTTAAACTTTTATAACAAGTACCATAATAGTTGTCTCTCAAAAAAATATCTCTATTACACAGCATCACAGCAGTAGGACTTTTTCTTAACTCAGAACAGTAGAATTTATTCCTACACTATTATGGTTATTAGTCATGTGAACTCTCCCAACCAATGGCACCTTTATTCAGTTCTTTTGAAGTAAAGAAATAAATCACAATCTCCAAATACCACTAGAGAGAGACAAAGTATCATCCATGGTAGGCGTTCCATAGTTTGAGAACCACTGTTTTGAACAGGTTAGAAATAGTAGATTTGATGCTCTACCTGCCAAACTACTGAGTTGTTTAAAGGATAAATCCACCGGCGCCCCATACATCTTTTAACCTGTATGAAATGAGAAGAAAAAAACAAAAACATGAGACACAAAACATTAAATATTTCAGTTGTTGAGGGTAAAAATGAATGGTGTGCTTAGAGTATCAAGATCACGTGACCCTTCTCTCCATTAAACAGGAAGAACATCCTTGTAAGACGAGTACAGCATGGATTTATTTACGGGAAAATAAATGGATTAAAACAATCTGTTCTGTTTTATTTCAGTTGCACATAGTTATTTGAACAGCGTTTCTCTATTAAAAACACAAGATAATTTTCTTTGTATTGAAATTCTTTAGTTTAGTTAAGTTTTAATTAAATTAAAGAGGTTGTGGTCAACAGCAGTACTTTTGTTTCTTAACACACATTATAATTGTTAAAAGGAATGACTTCGAGATTATAGGTAAAATCATCACAAACTGCAAATATTTGGAATGAAGGGAGCATGCAACTAACCTTCATGAAATATACGAGACGTGAACTGCATTTAACGGATACTTTTACGAAATACTATAACAAATATCATAACTTACCCAAAATCAACATAAATACATATAAACCACTGTTAGCTCTTTTGTGATTTTCTTTGGTGAGATTTACCTATCGTGACACACAACAACATTGTATCACCTAGGAAACCACAGTGGACCTACGTCATTTTTATATGACTGAATATCATCATTCTCGACAAACTTTTTTTTTTTTAATTTCGAGAATGTAAATTAGCGTTACAGCTGCACAAACACACGTTTCAAAGTACTTATCCGTGGTTAAAATTAAAACATACATTGCATTTATGACTTTTTCAAAACTTTACGTATTACGACCGGCGTATGCCGACGGTGCTCATGGTTGGCGGAGTCAAAGGACCTCTTTCTGAGGGACAACGGCGTACAACATAGGGTTTTTTGGCATGGTAATAGAATTAACCAAATAAATAGATGTGTAAGTACACCAGGTGTAGTGTCAAATAATGAAAAAACTTGGTGTATATGTGAATCTTACTTAATCCGCCCCTGCGAACTTTCCGCAGAACAACGGATTGGCATTAAAAGCAAGCACAACATGTGCCTGCGTCACAGCCAGTGTAGCCAATCGATGCGCGTTCTTTTGGACGCGACTCTGCGCGAAAGCAGATTGGCTAATTCAATCGGTCCTGTCTTTTGAATACTTTATCCGCTGTACTCTGGTCCATACTGTTTATTTTTCTGCCGGGGGTTTTATTTTCAGATGGAGTGATAACAATTCTCTTCGGAGAGTGAAAAGGAGAACGGGAAATTTCACACAGTCCTGGCGTTTTAAGGTATGTAACTGCTTATCCACATATACCATCATTAAAGAAAATTATTAATCGTATTTTCAGCATTTAGCTTATTTATGCTAGCGGGCTAAGAGGTTTTTTTTTTTTCTCTGTCCCAGGTTAACCCCCTTAAACGATAAAGGGTCGGTCAACATGACGATTAATCTTGGTGTTAAAGCTCTGCTCTGCTGGGTAAGTAAAGAGAACAAAACACGTTTATTTGATGTGAAGTTTGAAGTTTCAGTAAGGAAATGAACGTCAATGCGCTACAGATAAGGCTTGCTTTAAAAGTGTTATAAGTAAGCTGTATTATTAGTTTTCTTGTTTAATTAAAAGTGATTTAGGCCGTCGTTATATTACGACACACTAGATATACTACACAAAAACTTTCTGAATCTAAGTTTTAATTATAAATGTTGCTAACTACTATTTCTCCAGATTAACAGCATCAAAGTCTCAGACCAAGTATTGACCGTAGATGATTTACAAGATGGAACGGTTTTCCAGAAAGTCATTTATATGCTGTAAGTTGACATTTGCAACATTACAAGAATTATGTAAATTGTCTTAAATGTGGAGATGGACACTCCTTTAACCGTATCACCTGTTTACTCATTCTTGACTGTGTCCCCTCAGGAAAAAAGAAACAAAGACTTGTTTAAGTCAGTCCACCGAGCAGCGTTTTCAAATCATTGCAGACTTTTTTGAAAGTAAGTGGTTTTTTAGCTCTTTTAAAAATGCACATTGTTGTTTGTTAAAATCCCAGCAGTTTCTCTGTGGAGAAACTGCTGTTGTCACACCCAACATTTCTTGGGTGTGGTCTGACGTGCATGTGATTGTGGTATGCAGTAAGTAAGTGTATTGAGATCATTTGTTTTTATTCAACGTTACTGCGCAAGTGTTTCACTCTGTTTGTTATTGAAAACTCTTTAATTTCACTAGGAGACTGCAGATTTAGTGAAGCCAGAGGGACTTCAATATCCTGGGACAACATCAGAGACGGAACCAACTTAGCTGTAGAAGTTGCAAAGGTATGGGTGGAACCTCAAACAAAACGCAGTCTCAGAGCAAAATGTTGTTAAATGCACACGTTTTTCCTCAAAGTTTTCACACGTGTTTTTGTGATACCACCAGGTCTTGTTGTTGCTCTTGTACTATGACATGATGAATGAACGCTGCACTCTGAACCTGTTGGACTGTGAAGTGGAGGTAAGCAGAACTGACAGAGTAAGAGCACAAATAGTATCAGTAATACATGTTTACAGTACTGTGACACCCTTCTCTACTAGCGGGAAATAGCGAACCTTACTGGTTCGTTTGTCATGGAGAGTGAAGACTGCGTTTACCTGAGCAACAGACTTGATGCCTATTTGACAAAGAGACGTAAGTGGCACCTTCTGAGTTCCTCCACATTTGTCTTCCTGTCTCTTTTGATCCATTTTTACGTTGCTGTTGCTGCGGAGTAACCAAAGCTCTTTTTGTCTACGAACTAAAGATTTGCCTGTCTCCCGTGATATATTTGATCGCTCAACTAGCAACTCCATGTCCGTGTCGTCCATCTCCTCTCTGTCGGACGATGAGTCTCCAGTTGTCCATCGCACACAAAAACTCACATTTGTGGACATGCAAACTGTGGCTTCTTCTGTGAGGTACATTAAAATTCAAACCTTGTTTGACCCATTCCGCTGCCTTCAGCATTCAGCTTAACCCTATTAACGTCTATGAAAATGACGTATCAGATTTGATACAGTAGGTATATAAGGTCATGTAACTCTAAATCAGTCAATGGTCATTTTATGTTATTTAATGCATTATATATAACTTTTTTCTAACAACATACAGTCTTTATTTTTTTATTTAAACTAAAAAGACTGTAAATGTTTTTTTATTTTAAATTATGTAATTTAAAAACTTTTTATTTAAACTAAAAAGACTGTAAATGTTTTTTTATTTTAAGTTATGTAATTTAAAAATATTTTATTTTTAAATTGCATAATTTGGTAAATTTATATATATATGTTTTCTAGACTTCCACCCAGCCAGTTGCATTAGTGGAGTTCTTATTACTGCATTATGGTAGCACTTCTTATATTTGGAATTACAAATTTGTTAGATTTGTTTGTGTTTCATTATGGGTTTTTTTATTCAGGAAAAAAAGAATCTTTGAGCATTGTGACCCCATGTATCAAATATGATACAAATTGAAACTCATATGAAAAATTATATTTGAATTTTCTTTTGTTTGTTTGTTCAGAGGGACCAATAGGAAGGGTCAAAGTTCAAAGAATTTGAATTTTCTGTCAACTATTTAATGGTTTGGGCTTTACAGGGTTAAGATAAAAATAAAATCATATTATGTATTTTTTTGTCCTGTTCTGCAGCCGGTCTCCGTTGCAGGATATAATGAACACGCCGAAGTTTCAGGTTAGAAAGATGCAACGGCAGATGATCAAAGAAAGAGATTACAGAGACGGGCTGGAAAGAGAGCTAGCCAATAAGCTAGCGCTCATTGCGCAGAAAGGTATGCCACCTCCTTCGATTGCATAATTTGATAGTTGTATTATTATTTTTTTTAAATTCCATTTTATCAAATCATTCTTCAGACTCTCACATCAACCAGCTGCAGTATCGTTTGGATAAGCTGAAAGAGGAGCAGAGTAGTCAAGAGCAACTCTCCAGGGAAGAAATCCACAAAATGGATACCAAAAACAACACGTGAGTGCCAGGAGTGTCCTAACCCAAATGTTTGTTATTGGATTGATTGAAGAAAATATAAAATTTCTCATTTTTTTTAATTGTTAAATTTCTCAGGTTACAAATGCGTCTAAATGAGATATTGAATGAGAATAAAGACCTCAAAGGTACGTCGTCTCTTATGGAGCGTAAAGTGGACGACCTGACAGAAGAAAACGGTGTCCTCTCCTCTCAGGTATGTCTTTGAAATTTACATGAATGTCTTTTAATGAAGGCTACAATAAATTATATGAATGTACTGAAAGCTTTTGCCCTATACCCAATACCTTAACAACAATAGGCCCTGTCTGTTTGTATTTTTTAAAGTGCCCTTGATGACTCTTTTTTTTATACCCTTCTATTTACTTATTATATTATATTGTGTGTTTTTATTATTATATTTGATTTCCTGTTTGCACTGTGTGTCAGAGAGGACTGACATTTTATTTGAGCTCTAAGTATGGCATATTTGACAATATATTTGGCAGAACTCAATTCCAAATATATTTTATGTTTTTGTTTCCTAAATGTCCAGATGAGATCAGTTTGTTCTCAACTGACCAAGTTCAAGGCTGAAGTCAGCCGGCTGACGGATGCGCAGACATCGGCTGAGGACGAGTGGAGTAGTGAGAGAGGTCGCCTTCAATCAGAGCTCAGCCAAGCCACTGCTGAAAAGGTAACGCACAGAAGATTAATTGGTGTTGTATTTTCCTACATTTGTTATACATCAGTTATTCACAACTGCAATATTTTGAATGAAAGTTACATGTTTTTTGTTTTCTGTGTACAGATAATTTGACCTCTTTTTAAAATGTTTACATTGATTTAGAAACTCATTCTGATGGTCTGTTATGGTTAGCATTAGGAGATGTGCTCTAACACGCTCTGTTATTGTTGTTGTTATTTCTCAGGAGCTTCTCACGGAACAAATCCAGATCCTCAAAGGAAAAATTTCCAGTCTGGAGGAAGAAATCAACCGAGCCACCAAACAAGAGGTTGGAGAGAATATGGGACCGATCATGGAGGTAAAGAAGTTGAAATTGGAAATAAGGGGAATCAAACATTTTAGTCATTGCTTGTGTTTTTTGCTAAGAGATTATTACACCTTTTATTTTTCCCTAAACACCAGATTGAAATGTTGGAGACTGAGAAACGCTTGCAGAATGAGCTGAAGATGATGTCCGGTTCCCTGAAAACAGCTGAGCAGGAGATTCAGGCCAAAACGCATCAGTTGACACAGTACCAGCAGGAAGTTTGTCAACAGAAGGAGCTCCTGGAGCAACACAGGTCCCGAACTGCAGCATCTCCAACGTCAACTGGACGATGCCGAGCAGCAGAAGACTGAGCAGGTGTCCAGGCTGCAAGAACACGTTGCTGCATGTGAGGAAGAGGTACAGAAACTGAGAGAAGCTATGAGAGCGAAGGAACACCTTCTTCATCAGGCTGAAGAAAAAGTAATTGAGCTGGAGACAAAGCTGGCCGCTGCTGATTCTCAATTGGCCAACAAGGACCGATACATTAGCAACCTGAAGGAAGAAGTGACCAAAATCAATGATGAAATTCAAGCCAAAGAGGAAATGCTCATCAAGTTACACTTGCAAAAGACCAACGAAGAAACTGTTCTTCATGGTGAAATCCGGTCCTTAAAAACCAAAGTCACTGATCTTGACTCATCCCTCCAACGGGCTGAGCAGGAAATCAATCTCAAACAGGATCTTTTGGCTCAAACCCAACAAGAAAATGTCCAACAAAGAGAAATACTCCTACAGCAGGTGGCAACACGTGAAGAAATGATTCAAAAACTTAATGCAGAAACACAGTTGAAAAATGAGCTGCTAAGTACTTTGAAAAATGAAAGCACCCAGCAGTCTGAGTTGCTGGAACAACAGATTAAAGATCTGCGAGACCAAGTGGAAACTTCAAAGGAGTCTCTCAGAAAGTCTAATGAACAAGTCCAGACCCAGCAAAACCTGCTCAACGATCGAGATCAGGAGAAAGAACTTCTGCAGGAGCAACTCTCTGCGTCCGAAGTCA